AAAAAAAAAAAAAACTTGATAATCATTGCTTTTATGGTTATATGTCTTTTTCCCAATGTTTCCGGCGTCTGAAACACGGAAACATTGGAAAAAAAAACAAAAAAACATACATACAATGATTTTGAAACTATCTCCAGGCGCGAGCGACACCATCCCCGCGATAGTTTGTGTCGCAGCTTGAAAATCATGTTGTGTTTAGGTTTTGTTGGTTTTTCCAATGCTTTGTGCTTCTGAATCACAGAAACATTGGAAAAAAATATCAATAGAAGCTGCTTACACGGAGCTGAAAACACTGGAAAAAACCGATAAGAAAAAGGCACACTCTGATTTCAGAACAATAGAAAACCAATACAAGTCATGCACGCGAAGCCGTAAACATTGGAATGACCAATTCAAAAAAACGAAGCGCGTGAAGTCGTGAACATTGGAACAACACGGAAAAACAATAAAAACGACAAGCGCAAAGACAGACACATTCTATATAGCACATACCACCGCACACTCACATGCACATGCATTCAGCTGGAAACAGTGTCGTAAGCACCAATAGACTCATGTTTGCGGTTTCGTAGTACACTTTCGCGCTCAAAGAGGTCGAAAACCATGAGAGCTTTCAATGTTTTGGGCCCCCCATACCACGAAAACATTGCACCTCTTTGCACTTGTGCTCTCCCATATAATAGCTAGTTGATGTTCAGTGAATTTTGTGACTACGACCAACCATTGCCTCAAAAAATAAAAGAAAGATTCATATTGGTATCCGTTTAAAATTTTCACATAAGCCTTAAACAATATTTCTTTATTATCTAGCGCTGAGTTCTTCCTGGAACCAAGATATTGTCACTGTTCCACTGCATTCGAGCACCAAAATGCTGAAATAGCTCATCTGCATGCACATCTAGTCAATAGGCAGTCAAGGGTAACTTAACCCGGGTGCTATCGTATTTTGACTGTCGTGTATCATTTGCACACAGCACTTGTTCAAATACCTTACAACTACTACTTTACTACTTCAATCATACTTATTGACACATCTATTTGGTGGAATACTCGCTTGGTATTTGGGTAGTGCTGGCTGCATGTTCGCAGGTGTGCCGCTCATTGAAACTCCGAAAGCGAATGGGTTCGTTTAGCGTATAGTTTTGTATTACGTCGCAATGGGGCTTTCTAGGTTTGGACAATAGTTAAAGTTCATTTAATTATTATTCTGATGCCCCATTGATGTTCTGTGCCGAGTTTTTTCCGCTCATAGCTTGTAGGTATGGTTTTAACTTTTAAAAAAAAGAATTCTGTAAGTACGCATTCTATACTCATCGAACATGTGCTGTTCGCATACAACTTAAGCAATACTACACTACTATATGCTTCATTTCCTTGAGATCTAACCCAATAGCAATTCATCGTCTAAATATTTCCCTGATGTGTACACAACGAAGTTTTCGTAGTTCCAGCTATGCAAACGGCATTCCATGGTTTCGTCGGTAGTTACTACTTTTGTGCATTCCCGTGTTTTTGTTGGTGTCTCTTCTCAATGAAAGAAGTGGTAATCACTACTGGAGCAAGAGCTAGCGCTTGGCTGCTACGGCGTGGTTGGTTTTCTGTCTCCTTGGTACTACTGCACCGACTAGCTGTTCCAGTTTCAATGAATGTTACATGTCATGAACAATATCTGAATACTGCATGCTGTGTAGCTGTAGCCCGAGCAGGAAGGCGGAACAACATGAACCATTCAACAAATATTATTAACCTGATACTAACCGGACAGTCTAACGGAGGCAATAACGGATGTTTCGCCAATACTCTTTGATAGCGAAACTGCAGGGAATGGATATTTTTCGTAAACGGTTGTCGCCACTGCCAAATGCACATGAAGTTCTGCAGACACACGCCGGCGGTATAAACACACCAAGCATAGGTAGGTACATCGGGGGGCAGCATACATACATACATACATACATACATACATACATACATATATATATATATATGTCAGGTTCACGTTTAAGATCGAGAGGAGAGAGACATCGGACAACCAATCACAAATGAAGGCGCGCAGCTGCATTGCAAATTGCAAACTAGGACGGATGTAGCAAAGTTGTAGACTGTGCACTGCGCACCTGCATCATCCTGCATCCATTGCATCCCTCATGGAAAAGCGGGCTGCCTGTATCCTCGGGCCCACCCCGAGTGCGGTAGCCAAGCGCCTCTACCTCGTCCCGCAGCCCAGCCTCGGACTCGGCTTAAGGGGAAAGCTGTCTTTGCCAGGAGCGTGGAGCTGTCACAGATAATCGCTGTTGAGACTTCCGAGGTGTGTTAGCTTGGCGGGCCGAAAAGCTCTCTGAAAGCGGCAAGCAGAATCAAGTTGAGGTCAGGCGGTTCGTGCACAGGCCCGTTCCGGGACATTTCTGATGTCCGAGCTTGGGGCGTATGGATTAGCCATAGATGCCGCACAGCCCCTACAGACCCTTATGGCGAATTGGGTGAACTGCTGTAGCGCGAACGTAGAAATGACTGGCAGCTGCCAGGCGTTTAGTGCCACTTCTGCCCATTCCCGAGCAACCTCACCAACGACATAGATGTCCCGATCTTTGGGGACTCCGCGTCTTTCCTGGAGATGGACAGAACTGTCAAGTATTGCACCCGCTCTGCAAGTATGCAAGGTTGGACGATGGGACGGTGCCCTTTCACTGGAATCATGCTGAGTCTCCAGAAGTTGCGCGACCGCTGCTGCGCTGTTATAAACGTGCTGTTCTTCAGCCCAGTCCACACCCAGCAACCTCAATCGGCCAGCAACCTTGGCTACGGTTTTTGCAGCAATGCCAAAGCATGTCAGCCATGCAATGCAAGCTGATGGACACAAGAAGGGCATGTCCGACAGAGTCCAGGATTTGTGCCAGCTTCAGGCATGCAACATCCGCTCGGGTCCGCATGGCATTGTTCGTTGCAAACACAACGACCTTGCCCGACTTGCGCAAATCGGCCAAAGCCTCTTGGACGCCATCTACCTGCCATCAGCTCGTCGTCTGGAGGCGAGAACGGGTAACAAACCCTCACCAGTCGTCACTCTCTCAGCACATTTGGGACCTTCCGAAAAATAGTGTACCTTTTTTTGGGTTCCTTATCATAAGGATCCTACTATTTAGGAAATTTAGAGCATTATATTAGGGTCCCCTATTGTCGGAAACTCACATATCTATCTGGGAGGTGTAAATGAGTCCAACCCCCGGAAGCACCAGCTTGTCTCCGATCCAGATCACGCCGTCAAGGTCGAAAACAAAAACGTCCACACCTGTGCCAGCAGTGGGTGAGGCTGCTTCTCGGTGACCATTTTTGCTGAGACATGCCGAGGCGCTGTTCAGAAGCTGCCGCGCAGCTGCGTCGTCCAGCTCACGGCTCTGGCCCCACGGGGCCGAGAGTGCAAGGCTTGGGGCGGCTCTGTGCTGATCCACCACTTGCCACACGCGCAGCCTGAGGCTGCAGTAAACAAGCCCGGCGCATCGTAGATATCACAGCGACAAGCTTGACAAGAAGCAGAGAAGTAGCCGCCAGAAAAGCCACCAGCAACCGTCTCGGCCGCTGTATCGGCATGGCTACGGTAGCTACAGCTGCCTCACCTCTCAAACCACATCCCTCTGCGCTCTCGCTTTTTATGATAGTTGCGCTTCAGCTTGCTGCTTCGAAAACCAGGGCTGCAAGCATCACACATCTGCAGGGAAGCATGGGTTCGGGCTTTATCCCTTAGCAAGCTTCGCACAAGCTCCTTGACGACCTTCTCGCATTGCTGCGATCGTTGCGATTTCTTGAGGACCTGAACTCGCAACTGAGAGGGCCCTACGGACGCAACGATCTGCAAAATGTTGTGCTTACAGCTTCGCGCCTCTTGGTGGACGACAAAGCTCAGTCGTCGTCGGATTCTCTTCCTGACAACCAGGTAGCCGTTAGGCCCGTTATGACTGTGAACCCCCGCAATCCCCCGCACTGCCTGGCTGCGAGAGCCCCGTCTGTCAGACCGAGGTTCCCTTCCAGCCTGGATGCAGAGAAAACCACGGCCTGGCGGTGGGCTGCGCAGAAGGCCTTGCCCGGAGCGCGCCGAGCGTCATGGACTGCAAGTCCACGTTCACCAGGATGGACTGGACCTACCAAGCAGCTCCGAGAGGAGCTACCGAGAAGCTCAGGAGCAACCATGCCGGCCTCTGCAATCAACCTTGCATCTGGAATGTCGCAGGCCTGGCCATCCCAAACCAGGGTCTTCTAATAGCGTGGCCGCAACAGAGCCTGTGCGCCGCTCGTCACATTGGTCAGAACTTCGGTGCTCTCCTCCGGAGCTCCGCTCGTGACCACTGCCGGGCTTTCATCGGGCTCTGCCTGGTTCGGTGCGGCTTCATGTCATGTCGCAATCCACAAGGACACGACGTGTCAGGCACACCTGCTTCTCCCTTGTAAACTCAGCCGTTCCACACTTCTGGATTTTGCAAGGTACCTCGCAGAAGCACAACCAAGGAAGGAGTAAACATCTGAACCTCCACCCCATCGCATCGCCCGCCTCCTCTCCTGGAGAACTCGGAGCCTTGGCCTTCTGTGCCATGCTGCCCCTGCGAAGGATGGCCAAACATGCTCATCGCAGCTGTCAAGATAACTGACATAGCTTAAGCTCCAGGCCTTCTTGCTGAGGCCGCCAATGAATTACTTGAGCCCGCGCCAAGAAAATGATCGGATCTCGGCCGTACACCAGCTTCTGAGCTCAGTCGCACCCTCGAGAAAGCAGTGCAACCCCTCGGTTCTCTGTGCTAACCGTTAACCGTGAACCTGCACCTGATCGTGGTGATGACCATCAGGATGATGTCGATCATCGTGATGATGATGATGATGTTGATGATGATGATGATGATGACGCGGAGAATGAATGCAAAGGCAGCCGTGGTGTCTTCGATAACACGCAGGACGATGTCTCTTCTGGCTTGCTTCATGAACTGAATTTGAACGACAAAAGCTCCTGCTTCTCTAATCCTTGATGGCTTTGTTTGCCGGAATCATGGGGCCGAAATCTCTTCTCTCTCCCTCTCTTCCTCCCGCTCTCCCCTTCTTGCACGTCACACCAGCGTCTGCCAATGTCTACCTTGCCTGTCGTTGCAGCATTGCAACAGCATCGCAGAAGGCTGGACTCTGACACTATCAATTGCGTGAGCAAGCTCTGCCAGTTCGGAAAGTGGACGTGCATGTGTATCTGTATATGTATGTAAAAAGTAGAGCTATGTTATCGAAAGCAAAGCTACGTCAAAGGTAGTGACGTGAAATGAAGTCATGTCGTGTTGTGCTATGTTACTTGACTACGTTGTAATAATATATTGGGTTTTGCTAATATTGGTCTTGTGTTGTGCTGCGTGATGTTAGCAAGCAAGTATGTGCGCATGTGTGTACATGTATCTGCTTATTCATTTGCGTACCCCTGTGCGGATATCCTAAACCCTAAACCCCTGAACCCCTGAACCCTAAATCCCTAAACCCTAAAAACCCTAAACCCCTAAACCCATGCGTCCAAAATGTCCAAACATCAGTCGCGCTCACACTGTGAAAGTGACAGGTGCCAGCCCGAAGGTGACACGCCAGTAGCCTCCTCAGGTCGGCCCCTTAAATTGCAGTGTAGTATAGTGTAGTATAGCGTCGTATAGTCTAGAGTCTAGAATAGTATAGTCTGGTATAGTGTAGTGTAGTCTAGTATAGTATGGTATAGTAGACTATAGTTTCGTAGATTAAAGTATAGTAGAGTACAGTATAGTATGTCTAGACACCACGGAGAAAGCTTGCCACACATTGATTGCTCATAAGTAGCTTCGTGGAGTTTAGATGATGAGCCGTACTCAGAAGCAAGTTCATCTAGCGTGATGTATGACCGATATCGTTACCTCTTTGCGAAAACTGCTGTTTGGATGCCATATGATGCCATGCTCTAGCCACGAGTTCAAGGGCGGCCAGAGAAGTACGTGCAGCACTCCGGAGTTCTAGGTCACAGCTTCGAGCTGTCCACAATCTCCTCCAGGCACGCCCGATGCTACAATGCCGCTCTTCACGCAGTAGAAACGTGGAGGAAAAGTCCTGTAGCCACTGACCCATCTTGCGCGAGCCATGTCTATGCCTCGTGCCAGGAAGATGACGGCATCTGAAGGCTCTGAAGTTGCTGGGAAGCGCACCTTGCATGGGCATGTTCTTGATCCATGCTTGGCATCGCCTGCCAGGAGGCCAACTCGGTAATGGCAACTTGCTTAGCAGATGCCGCTTCCCTGAGGCTGCAGCATTCCACTGCGAGGCTTCTGACTCTAACCTGAAATCGGGAGACCGCTGGTTTTGTGCTGTAGTTGGAAAGGCGGCCCCGGCCTCAGCACCTCGAGCTCTTTCTGCTGCTGCTGGTGAAACCGTTCCAGCTCCTTCTCCTGATGCCTGGTGTCGTCTGGAGAGATGGCATCTGGCACAAGGTAAGTCCATCGATTGCCCCAGGCCTCTGCAGCCGCCGACGTAGTTCGTCAAGTTGCTGGTCTTGACGCAACTGGCACGCTCGGGCCCCAATCCCAGACCATTTCCAGAGTGGCATCGCAGGCGTCGCACCATATGCACATGTACGCATCCATGTCATGAATCTGAAGTGTTTGTCGATGCCCCGGAGTCTTTTTTCGATGTCCGGGCGTGCAGACACCTACGTGTGCTGTCGGGGCCTGCAGCTCCAGTAGAGCCGCGCGGTCCTGTTGAAGCCGATGAACCCGGGACATGCTTTCGGCCTGCCCAGAAGCATCTCAGCAACTCTTGCTTGAGGTTGATTGAATCAATGAAATGACACCACTTGCCTGCAGCCTCGGGTCCACTTCCTGTCACAGCTCGTACATCACAAGAGCATGTAGCAGCCATAGCAGCAAGGCAAAGTTCCAGTGCTTGCGAGGAGCATAAGATTCCTGCGCTGGCTGGCCATGAAGCTGCATGATCTCGGGAAGTTGCGGGCGTCGGCACAAATCTCCCTGACTTCCCTAACTACTTCCGGATAAGCTTACAATGCTACCATCGTCTGCCACTGCACCGCCCAATGGCACTGCTCGGATTCCATTTCACTTTCAGCACCGGACACTCTGAGCTTCTGCATCGTCCTTGCCAGCGGCCGTATTCTACGATGCTCCATGCTCAAATGTGCAAATCCACCGTCCCAAAAAACGCGGCACAGCAACGCTCGTGACAAGCAATCCGGTCCTCGTCATCATCTGTGGCCTGCTTCTGCTGCTACTATTAATACTACTACTTCCACTTCCACTTCCACTTCCACTTCCACTTCCACTTCCACTTCCACTTCCACTTCCACTTCCACTTCCACTTCCACCACTACTACTACTACTACTACTACTAGTAGTTAAACTTTACTTTTGCTATTACTAGCACATGACTAGTAACCTCCAAAGCCTCCGAAGAAAGAGCCCCTGCGTCCGAGGTGTTAAGAGCATTTAAGAGCAACCAGCAGACAGGGATTTCTGTCTGAGGGCATGCGAAACTGTAAAAGCCCAGTGACTTAGCTCTTGCCGAGGATGGCATTGCGAAACTCGAACTTCGGGGCCCGGCACCCTCAAGCAACCAATTCCCCATGCTTGAAAAGCGGAAAAACCAGTACACGAAGAGTTTCTAGCACCGACATCTGAATACTGAACCCGAAGCCCTGAACCCTGGGCCTTTTCATCACCAGACCAGTGAAGAGGATGGCCACAATGCCACTAAGGCCAAGGCCATCAGCTAGGAGGAAGGGGGCGTAGCAAAAGACCTCAAACTTGCTGCAAACAGCTTCGGTTTGTCCCTCTTGTAGGCGAGTCCCGAGCCTGTGCACCTGCTATTGAGCATCGTCCGACTCTCCTCATAACGACATGCGGAGTTGAAGCCAGTTCTTTCTCTCTCGCTTCTAAGCCCACGCTCACCTTTTCTGAAGCTTTTGGGGGCGGCCAACTATCGAGGATGCTCATCCTTCAGAAGGCATAAATCGGGCATAGAGCTGGTAGACCTGGATAACCCAGAGACTCAGACACTAGAGCCGTACTCCAAACAGCGACCAGTCAAACGGTCTCAGGACTGCAGGCGTCTGTATCGCCTGACGTTGTCAGGAGGTCAATAGGATTACGTAAAAATTCTCTATAGCTAAACGCCGGAGACACATTTCGCCATAACACCCCACACCCGAACCCCAGCCCCAAATATTTCAGTCGACCCCTTCCTTGCAGTGGGTTCGCCAGAAAAATCGACAGCTCCAGCTTTGGGCCATGGAGGTCAGTGTGGCTGGATAAGGCCGCATGCCTGGGCTGAGGTAGTTTCCAGGTTCAAAACCCAATTCGGGTTTAAAGTGTAAGGCTGCCTAGGGTTCGACCCCGTAGACTTGGGGTTTTAAAGCGTTTGGCGACAAGCCCACACGCGCCACAACACCTAGCGAAAGTCTGCAAGTTAAACTGAATGCAACCTCTATAAAGCCCGCAACGCACCAGGCCCTCCTACCTGAGAAGCTGGGTGCCTGGCTTAAAGAGCAGCGCGGAAAAGCAGCCCAAACCAGCACCGATGACCTCTGGGGCAGCGATCCCTGCACACTATTCTGATTGCTTGAGGGTTTGAAGCCCTGTCAAACTTCAGCGAGCAAGCAGATTCCCTGATGCACACTGATATGCCACATCATTCCCCGATACCCTAAAACCACTATCGACCCCAGCAAACTATTGCATGAATTTGGGCTTGTATTGGCAGTAGCATGCAACAACCTACCGAGCCACAATGTACTTCTGCAACGGAGGAATCCCTCAAGGCCCTGAACCCGGAACCCCAACCAGCACCACCGCCTAATCCGAAGCCCCGTGCGCAGTCGGATTTTGGCCAAAGCGCCGCAGAGCCGACGAAGATGACGATGAAATCCCACACCATTCCTGCTTCGGGTTGGGGGGAGTGTCGAAGGTGTAGGGGCTTGAAGTCTTGAGGATCCGGCTTAAGAAGTTGACCTGAGTGGAGTTTCCTGCGGGGAAACCGAAGTCTTGGAGGACACAAGTTTCAAGGGGCCTCCTTGCAAAAAGATAATAGGTCACCCTATCCTCACGAGACACGTACTCGCCGTACTTTGGGCTTCGTGTCCTGGGCTAATAGGGCACATCTTAAACCCCAAACCCCTATCCTAAATCCTACACATCCCTAAACCCTAAGCTCTAAAACCCTGGGCTGCGGTGGCAGAGCAGTTGCTCGACCTGAAGAAGCAAAAGCTAAAAAACACTGTTTGTGACCATTCTTACCTCTATTCTCAGTATTACTGGCATCAGTTAGTTTGCCATTACTGCCAGTGCTGCTATCACTGTTGCTAGTAGTTTTGTTTGGGGATTTATGGCTTGGGAGGCTCTCAGTCAAGAGAATAAACCTTTCTTCTCAGCCCCACACTGCTGTCCTGGTGGTATCTCCCGCTCTCAATAGAAAAACTTAGCAAGTCCAAGCAGCAAAACCCCAACAACCAGAGCTCCTTGTAGTGTGAACCCAAACATCAAGTACTGCGCCGACAGTGAAGCCCGACAGCCTAAGCTTAAGCTCTATATACTAAAGCCAGCAGCCTACCCAGGTAGGATTCGGGTTTATGCACTAGGGCGCATCTCTCCACAGGACCTTCTAATCCCACCTCACCCCAAGAGTCAGAATGAGCAAAAACGCTTGGAAGGAGGCCCATTGGTGCCCAAATCCCGAGAACAGGAGGCATGAAACATCCTGTAACCTACCATTCGTAGCCGAACGACTAAGGACGCTCGCTGCCACATTCTTCTCCTCCTGCCCGATCGCTTTGGAAAACCTCGTCAAGTACACGTCGGGTAATGGTTGGTTCGGCTGTATCAAACGCAATGACGAGGGCTGGTTTACAGGGCCGATGGGTCAGGGACTCAACGGCTAAGGGCCCCATGCTGCCAGTGGACTCATAGATCAGAGTATTTTGGGAGAACTGTAATGGAGTGAATACTGTTATGACAGGGCTCGGGGGGTTTACAGTTTGTCACTTTGGCGTGGGAGGCTTCAGGGTCCGAGACTTGGGAGGTGTTGTGTGGGCTGAAGGTTTCAGGTCGGGGGTTTGGCGGGAGAGCCAAGCGAATACCAGCTTTCCATGCCTGAGGCTCGAACAGCATCCCAGCTGCAAGAGACAACATCATGCAGGTTTGCATTTTTATGCTGTAGACTGTTGAACCCTGAACGAATACCTACACCAGAATCCGACGTCCTGAACACGAAACCATTAGGCATATAATCCGACAACGTTCCGTCCAGTTGGAAAAACATATGTTGCAGAAATGCTAGCCACAACCAGAACGGAAATTGCAAATGTACGCGACAAGGCTTCTCCTCCTTGAGACAGAAGTTTTAGCGCCATCTCAGCAGGGCCCCAGAACTTCTGAGCACACCCACTTGGTCTACTCTAAGCCCTACGTGCTCACGAATGCCAGCCGGAGGGGCGAGTGGAAGAGAACAATGGAGACGGCATCGTTCAGCACGCTCTCACCTGAAGCAGGTTGGAATCATTACGAACCTTGTTATCAGTAAGTCTCCTGTAACTCGACTCTCTTCGAAGCGGCTGCTTTCTTGTCACCCATTTTGCTTCTTGGAAGTTTTGGTATAATTTCTCATGTGTCTGAATACATTCTGCAATCCACGGTCAAGGTGATTGCACCTGTGCGTGCAACATTACCTGACCACATACAACAAGGTAGGAGGTATAGCCCCTGCTGCTGCCGCTGCCCCTGCCGCTGCCACAGCCATTCCTGTTACCGCTGCCTACTGCTGCTCCTATACTACTACCATTACCGCGACTACTTCGACGACTCGTAGCACTCCTACTCCACTTCTCCCACTCCTACTCAGTCCTGCTCCCACTGCCGCTGCTGCTCCAACTCACGCTGCCACTCCCATTCCCACCCCCTCCCCACTGCAACCGCCACTGCTGCTGCTGCTGCTGCTACTACTATTACTACTACGACTACTACTACTACTACTACTACTACTACTACGACGACTACGACTACGACTACGACTACGACTACGACTACCACTACCACTAGCACTAGCAC